CCAGTACCCCCAAATCCTTCTCGGCAGGGCTGCTCTCAATCCCTTCATCCCCCAGCCTGTATTGATACCAGCGGTTGCCCCGACCCAGATGCAGGACCCTGCACTTGACCTCGTTGAACCTCATGAGGTTCACACGGGCCCACTTCTCAAGCTTGTCCAGGTGCCTCTGGATGGCATCCTGTCCCTCAGGCATGTGAATCGCACCACTCAGCTTGGTGTCATCTGCACACTTGCTGGGCCTGCACTCGATCCCCCTGTCTATGTCACTGATGAAGATATTAAACAGCACCGGTCACAGTCAGTTTTGTCTAGATTGCACTGACCAGCCATGCAAAGCTCTACAATTTTAAAAGAATGAAGGAAGTTTTATGCTGTGAAGCCAATATGAATCATTTGCATCTTCCCCATGTATTGCCTTCAGTGTACATTCTATATAAAACTAGAGTCAGTTAGCAAAATGATAAGTTAGCAGATTTTAACCAAGCACAATTCAGACTAATTGTGTTTTTCACTAGTTGAACATGGAAGTTGTCACCAGTTGTGCTTTAAAACTGTCAACAAAACCAAATGGCTTTTGTGTGCTCACGTGAGGCAGCGCATGAGGACTCGAGTGAGGAGACTGAACTGCCATGTGCTATGTGCTGAACTTTAAATGTCTGCCTTCTGTTTTTATTATTAATACAGAATCTTATCAGCATAACTAATGACTTTTTTGTATTTTTGCAAGTTGCTAAATATTCATGCTATAATGACTTGAAAGAATGCTCTCTGGCAAGCTAACTAAAATAACGGGATGAAATCAGAGGAATAGAGTAGGGAGAGAGGGAAGAAGGAATAAGAAAAAGAAGTCCAAGACACTAAGTTGAATTTATTTTGCTAGACAACATCCACAGATCGTTTTTGTCAACAGAAAATTATACTGAATCAATCAACATGAGTATCAGGCAAAATGCAAAGACCAGCCAGTGCCACCATGTTGCTATTTTGATGAACATGCAATTAAAGTATAAAAAACCCCACCTTACTGCTTTGTCTTTTTCTGTGCATTCATCCTTCTTATTTGGTTGGGGGTTTTTGTTTTGTTTTGTAGATATTATCACAGGAAGTCGTCTAGTGTACTAAAAGCTGGAACAGACTGGACACCCTGACAGATAATTGCTTTTAAAGACCCATAAAATAATTGGAGGGGTACAAAACTGCTCTGTCCGTGGCACTGACACTCTCTGGTGATTTCATTTTCCACCCCTGACTGAGCCTTTTCTTTCATGATGCAATGTCAGCAATGCAAACCGTGGAAACCACTCTTGCCTTGTTCTTTATAAGCAAGCAGTCAGGCCCTCAAACACCGAATCGGTAATGAAAAACATGAGTAGATATTAGAGAGAAGTAGCTCAATATAACCTTTACAGTTCTGCAGCCCTGGCTCAACTTTGTGTTTGGGCATCGGTCCAAAGAGGCCTAATATCTCATATTTGTTTCTTTTTCTTTCTTTCTTTCTTTTTTTCCACTCAAACAACTTCTGCTCAAGCAGCCAAAGTTTATAACAGGGAATACACTGGCCTCATATCACAAAATACCTTCCTATTCTGGTAGACATTTTCTGTTCAGCTTTAAAACCAACAGCTTTGCTGCAGCTGCTTAATGCAAGGTATCCACACAGGGGAAGAACCTGGCTGAAGAAGAGCTAGGAGGGGACAGTAGATGTTTTACTGAACTAACGTTACTCACCCTAAGCAGATCTTGAATATTTTCCGCGTGCGGCAATTTGTGTCAGATTGCGCTCAATTTGGCAAGGTAATTGGAAGGCAGCTACATCTTAGGAATCATTTAGACTTTCAGCTATGTAACTTTAGCTAACAGGGCACTTGAAGTTGCCCTTTATCAGTTTGTATGGTTGTGTTATCTAATCTAGTATGTGACCGTGGAAGAAATGGGTTTTAATACATTTGATTCATTCTCTGAAATGAATTGTACTGATAAATAACTTTATTTTGTGGAAATTGCTCCATTGCTCTCATATTGACAAGCTGAAATCAGACACTCGAACACCGACTAAGTTCTTGGTAAAATGGTGTACTTAAAAAGATGAGGCAAAAGGAAGAAAATACATTCCTGCTAGATGAGGATCTGCTTACCAGCACAGTCACCACACGCAGAACCACTCCTCGCATGTTATTCTCCAACTTTCTGTCTGTTAGTGACCCATTCAGACCAATGATGGGATTCCAGCAGCCAAGCTGAAAGAGAAAATAGAAATAATTTCTTCATTGCCCATAAAACTTTGCCAGTCATTCCTCTTAGGTGGTTTTAAGCAGGAACGTACGAAATAAACAGAACACCTTCTGGAATCAATGGGATGGAAAGTCAGGGAAGGGCTTGCGCACAGATTCATCTTTAAATTGCAAATGAAGCAATTAGGGATATCACTTTGTGCTTTTAAATACCAGTGTGCAATGGATGACAGCATCCAAGGTTTGGGGGCATATGTATTGCTTTAGAAGAGTTCAGGGAGGACTTCTATATTAATGAAAAACATTTAAAAAGTAGTATGGCTGTTACAATATTTCTACCTTACTTTCAGTAGAACACTGAAAGAGCGTTTCTCTATTGGAGAAATAATAGCTACCATAATTTTAGCACACTGTCTGCTCCAGCCCATTTTTCCTAGCAGAACTCTGATGAAAGGAATTACACTAGTTTTAATTAAAGCTTATACTCTCATTGATAATGAAACAGCAGTGATTTTTAGCCAGGTTAAAAATCGCATTTAAGGATGACTGAGGAAAAGACCATTGGATAGGCACATCACAGTATTGAGAAAGGATTGCAGCAGATTATCAGAAAAAGGAATTCAGCTACGAGATGCTTTTGCATTGGTGCTGTCGTATTTCTCGGGCTTCTATGGACAGAAGCTTTTTCTCGGGGATCTCTCCAGGACTAACTGCCTTTCAATCCGAATTTAGTAGATACTGACCTGTAATTTAGCTTCTCTGAAAATATAACTTGCCTACATTCTTACATGATGGTAGACGCTTATCTTGGATACAGAGAAACAGACCAACCAACCACTCATCCCTCAGCACCACATACAAACATTACTGGTTTCATTTTTGGAATTCATTCCCACATTCATCTGGCCTGTACAATTACCAGTGTTAAATCCAAAACCCAACAGAATAATTGACGACTGACTTCAGAGGACTTTGGAGCAGAGTCTGAATTACGGCATGTAAACTAATTGCCTATGTAAACCTGTTATACAGTCAAAAATGTAGAGAAAGAGGTAGGCACCTGCAGGTAGCAGTTCTTGCTCTGAATTGCCTTCTCCATGGACTGTGCATGAAATCTATGGAGGGATGCTCATCTTCTGATTTGAGTACCTAACTTAAGCCTCTAAACCCAGGTGTTTTTTCATGTCCCTATTTAAAGGCACAAAAGGTCTTGCTCTGACAAAAACAAGATTAACATCAGTATGTTACTTCTGGGCCCAGTGGCCTCTACTAAGACTAGTCTCTCAGAGAATTCAACCCTATAATCTGTGAGAAATATAAATTGTAAACCATCCAAAACATTACTGTACTTTAATGCACAGTCACAGAAATGGCAAGGTGCCTGAACCAGCTGAGGGGGTCTGTGAAAGAAGGGGAGTACCTTTGCTGACCGCGATTGAACACAACTTGACAGAAAGCATTATTTTCAGTTCTTCATGGGAAAAGCCTTTGTGCATGTGTTTCATAGATCTTTCAAAGTGAGACATAAAACAAGGAACAAATTCCAAGTACACGCATTTAACAATTTAAGAGGACCATTTGAAATATTTTTCTTCATTACACCCACTAGGCTATTTTAGAGTAATTTCTAAATTATTTAATTTCAATGTTTTCATATCAATTCGTTGAAGATGCCTCCTTAAGAAACGGGTGCCTCAAAAAGTAAAAAACCCAAACCTTTCTGTGATGATACAGAGATATGTTTCCCAATAGAAGATGGCCTTAAAGCAATGTAGTCATTTCTCTCTGCCATTTTCAGGAGTGCTCAGAGCTGTCCTAATTCTTCCCATTTTGAAGTTAAGGTTACACTCTTGTCAGGGAATGAGCAAGGGTAATGCTGAGCATACTTTTAATCTCAAGTAATAACTAAATCAAGGATCTACTGGATTCAGCACTCCAGCAGAAATCATTGAAAGTAGCAATAGGATATGAGGAGGAACTAAAGTATGAGGCATCATATTCATCTCTTGCAATTACTCATTTTTCCAATAGCTATTTCTAAATAAAAGCACAAACTATCACTACTTGGTTTTCTCACTCCATGCTCCCATCTGATCACAAAGACCAACAACAGATTATAGTAACCATCTCTGCTTCTCCTATACCTCCACAGCGTGTCTAGCTGTTCACAGCAGTACAGACGCACTGCTGACATTTCCAGGTCCTCATCACTCCTCTGGCAAAGCCCTCCCAACACTTTGAGCTGAATAACCTAATTGCTGAAGTGTGTTACCTGTAATAATGCAGTGAAATGTAGTGAATGTATTTGAAATGTGTGCACCATACACTGTACGTGATAAACCACTGCCATCCTATAAAACAAAGCATTTGATAGTCTACATTTTCTGTATTAAAAATATTGAAAACGGCACTAAGTTCAGAACAAAAGTACATTAAATTAATTCGGCGATTGTCATTCTTAGTCACATGAAGAAAGTAATTAGAACTTAGATCCAAGTAGCATATCCAAATGTGTTGGAAGTATAATTACCACAGAAACTGTACTGCTTTTGCCAGATTTAAAACCCTAAGAAGTTACTGAAAAGCCTTTGTAACCTTTTGAGGTTAAAGTCTATTTTTAATTATGTACATTAATGTGTACGTATTTCTATAATTTACATTTTAGCCCAAACCATTCTACCTTTTTAAGGAAAAAAAACCCAACATAACTGATTCCTGGAAATTTAGCATAGCACTAATTTTCCTTTAAAAAGGCACATTTTATTTTCAATTATTGTTCATTTAATTTTCGTTAATTCAATTATTCTTTTATGCAGCACAGTCATGGCGAAGACAAATCTGCAGTGCCTTGCCAATAAAGTTGAAATTGATTTTGAGTGGGAGCTGCTTACTGTCATTAGATGAAAACAAATCAACATTTACTGATGACAATTTGAGCTTGTCATTGCATCAAGGAGTAAATGTAACTATTGCTGAAACAGCAAGGTGGGGGTGGTATGTAGCTACCTCTTCAGCTCTACCTCTTGCTTAACTGTTTCTGCAAAACATTTGTTGCTTCTCCGTTTACTTGCTTTTTCTTTTGTTCTGTCTCTGATAATTGAAATGAGAGAACAGATCAGGCAATAACAGAATCTCATACTAATTCTGGTTGACTTGTATAGAACAGTATGGGTGATGGGAACTCTCTATTGAGCATAGTACTTGTCATCTTCATACCATATAAATTTTGTCATTTACAGTGCTTTGTCCTTCAGGTGCAGTTACTTTTGTTTATTTTAATGACAGCATTCACTCTGCTACATTCGGATATAAGATGATGAAGATGGAAAAGTTGTCAATGTTCTGCTTCCTTTGATATCCAACTTAGAATCTCTTTCTGATCATCCACCTCCCAGCTTATTATCCCCTCTATCATCATTATTAGAATGTGTTTCTCTCTCCTGTTTTGCTGGCAGAGCCAAAAATTGACCTGCCTTTGCAGAGGTGCTTCGTGATTAGAAATTTTTGCCTATATGAACAATTTAATTTGTATATTGATATTAAAATAGGCAAAATCTATTTTATGTATATCTGTAATTTCCAGGCACTGATTTATAAGGAACTTGAAACACTAAAATCTATAATGCCTTTATGATAGAGCTTACAGCCAGATTTTTTCCCCTACTTCCTATGAAATTAGTGAACTCTACTGAATACCTGAAAGCTTTCACTTTTTTCTGGCAGAGTAAAATGTAGATTAAAACTGCGTCAATTAATCGAGAAAAATATATTGGCCTAGTGTGATCCCAGTTGAGGACAATCACAGAAAATAAGTAAAACCAGAATACTGATACAAATGCACTACTTAAGTGCTTGCCACTCCAGGAGAGTGTAGAGCGTTTTTACTTCAACTAATATAGAAAATATACAGGAACCGGTTCATCCAGCACTGCAATGCAACCACCTCTGAACTCAGACTGCATCACAGCAACACTACAAAACAGACAAGAGCAGAAAACATTCTAGAGAAGCTGCAAGGAAAATCTGAAAGATAAAACACCATTACATCTAAGACTGGAATTGATCAGGACACCAGGATTACTATCACTCCTCTTTCCTTTATTTTCCTGGCATTTAAAAAAAAAAGAAAGAAAAAAAAGAAAAAAAAAAAAAGAAAAAAGAACAAGATCTTGGTTTTACCACAGACAGCCTGACAAAATATTTCCCGTGGAAATGCCCACCACAGAGCACAGTTGAGGAACCGCTCCACTAGCAGCTCATAAGAGAACCCACAGAAATACCAGCCTCCTCGCCTGCAGTACCCATATGTTCTTCAGAAACTCCCTACTCAATTTTCACCCAGGTCCAACCTGCTTTAGGAACTGACTTTTTCCAACATATGACTTCAACAGAAGAAATGCATGCTAATGATGCCCTTTTCCATTCAAAAGCATAATAAATTCACACATCTGGAAAAGACATCATGAAGCTGTCATGAAACAGCACTCAGTTAGGAGATTCTAACTGGGGAGAGTCAGTCTCTCTCTTGAGAAAAACTCAAAATGGGATACACGCAAAAAATAACGAAGAAAAAGGTTTTTTTTGTGATGTGTGGATTCAGCATTTACAAAATTTGCTAGGACACCAGTTTAGGCAAAATTCAAGCAGGTCAACACAGAAATAGTTTTGCACAGAGTATTCCTGATGCCTCTTGTCAGCTGTTGTTTAATATGTCCAACAGTGACTGGGAAATCAGAGACTAAATCCTATAGATGAAAGACTATGTCTCACAGAAGAAACGCCAGAAACTATATGTTTCGGTTGTTATTCTGATACTGTCAGTTATGAAAAATTTAGTCGGACACTCTGTCACGTGGTTAAAGAGCCCTTTCAGTTCGGCTCCCTAGCCAGCACCCAACAGTTGGTCAACCAAATCTGCAAAAAGTCTGATGGCCAGGGGTTAACCGAGGGCCTTTGTACTCCTGGGCTTGGTTAAAGAAACACGGATCAGTTTTGTTCTTCACAAC